TTCAACCTTATCATCTAGAGAGCATCTTTAACTTTGTTTTGGAAAAGAAAAAGTTTAGTTTATGTTAAAATTCACAACATTTTTCTGTTTCTTATCTGAAAAAGCAGCATCAGTCTGGCTCCTCGTTACCTTTATAGAATGTGCTGTCCATGCTAATAACATTGGCACATTAATGTGAAAGGTCAATCGCTGATTAAAAATCTTGTTCCACTCCTTTGCCAAACACTGTCAGGTAAATTACACAGACATGCCTGCAGGCTAATTTCTATTGAAATACCAGCACAAACATAAACTGCTTATCTTGCAGGTGTGCACTGTGCAGAATGAAAACCATTGGCCCAAAAGGATAAACAGGGAGCCTTGGGGATTGTGATGGAGGTTGGTGAAAGGAGAACTCAGCCAGCAGCTGGTGTTTTATGCAGAAGGGTTTATTGCAAGCTTGATGTACATCAGAGACCCGGGATGAAACAATAGCAATGTTAACAGAGTAACATGAGAAACTGTCAACCCCAAGTCTGAAGATGTATCACACAGCATCCCAATATATCTCCCTCACCTCGTGTCCCCCACTCCAACAGCACATCCACGAGAGGCTAGGTGTAGGTGTACAGTTAAGTCTAAAGGATGCATTCCTAAATCACGTTGTGTCTTTATGTCTTGCCGCTGGTGTAATGCAGAAAAGAGTTGGAGTTTGTGCCTCTCTGTCTGCAACTGTCTTGGGTATTTGAAGTAGAAAGTCTCTCAACATAGATGCTACAATGTACTGCTGGTATCTATAACCTGACCTTGGGCGCTGCGAAGACAGAGGGGAGTATGTGTGGAAAGAGAAGGGCTCTTTTGTTCCAGCACTTTCTATAATATAACACAAAACAACAAAACACAACTACATTGGTCAAAATTACTGATCAAGGTTGTGTTGGTGTGTAATGATTTTGTGTGGGAATGCATTTAAAAACACAATAGTGCAGTAAGTGTTTCGTAATGACAGATGATTGTCAGAGTCAAACTTTACTTTTATTCATTCAACATATAATTCATTGTTTTTTGTCATTGAGAGCTCAAATTGTAAAAAAAAACAACAAGCTCAGGCTGGACAACATGTGTTTTGCGATGCACCCATGCACAGTGTTTTGGTTTGACGAGTGACAGGAGGTTGGACCAATGATGCGGGGCATCTCGCCAGGCTCAATATTTCACATGGAAAGGATGTGGCTCAGTTTCTGGCCCGCAGCTTAAAATGGAGCCAGTCGGTTCACACTGTCAACCATGGAGGATTATTTCAAACAAATGCAATGCTCGGCAAGTTGATAGGCATGTTGTTATGTTTTTTAGGAGAAGGTGTGGCAAAGAAAATAATTGTAGCTTGAATAATCTTGCAATGACACTGTAACAGATATTCAGGAAAGTTTCCAAAACTTGATGTATCTGATTCAACAGCTTTCTTGTTCTGTTTTTATAACCTCTTGGTGGATCCACCCAAACACATTGTGATAGAATAAACATGAGTGAGTTTGTTAAACTTATTTTAATGTATTTCCAAGCAAAATGAATAAATGCTTGATTAATAAAGATTTATTTTTGAGATATTGTATTGGCTGTCAGTGCAATGGCATTAATTCTGTGCTGAATTAAACTTAATTTTGTAGAAGAGGATTCTAGTTTTTATAGGAAACTGTTTTTCATACAGCTAAACATTAACGTCTATATGGGGAAATTACAGAGAGGCCAAAAACGGAGCATGTCTTTATGAAAATATACAAGTGTTGATGATAATAATTATAGTTCCCACATTGGCAATGAGGTGTGGGGAGCCAACAAGAGCCTTTAATAATCTATGCTGGCTGCTTGCTGTGTTTAGTTCTTTTAATCTATTCAATGAGAATGTTGAATGTGGAGGTCTCTGGTGGGAAAAAGCTCATTTTTATTCATAGTGTATGTGCATGTTTTTATCTGGTCCTGCTTTATGTGCTGTGAGCAATCACTGCATGTAGCCATATTAGCATGTAGAGATGGATCAAACCCTGCAGAATAATCCAATGTGTTGCTTCACTTTGCATAGTAGATACTCACTGCACCACATATCCAACGTTTCCTTTGTTATAGTGCCGTGCTTGTAATCCTTTTTTTTCCTGTCTTTCTGGTTGGATTAGTGAGCCTGCTGCTGAACTGCTTAAAACTCTTTGGATCTAAAAGAAAACGCTCTGTGCTGCACTGATCTTTCTTCTGTGTTTTTATATTCTCAAGGTCAATGCCTACATGCCAACCATCCACTCTCTCCATACTGTTCATTAATTAATAGTAAATTTGCAGGTCAACGGACAATAAGCTGCTCACTGAGGTTTCGACTCTGTGGGATTTACATTCCACGGAATCATTTCATGCCATCAAAAGAAAATGAAGCATTTAGGATCCTGTCAGTGGAGCATGTGTCAGACTAGTGGCCGTCCAACTAACATATTAACGTTGCTTAATCATTTAAGACACATTTTGGTTTATCTTTGCTGTATTTACTTATTTCAACATAATATATAAATAGAAGTAAAGGATTCGAAACCACGATCCACTCAGAGTAAATGCATGTGATGTGATTAGCAAACTGAATGAAATCATAAATATTCTTGGGTCATGCCTGTTTTCTTTTAGGAGAGTGGACATGACATTTGAAATCAAATTAGGGCGACCGCAAAGAAGGATATGTTCTCTTGAGGATCAGGGTAACTGTAGGCTTCATGTTAAATGTGTCTGTATATTTCTATGTATGGATTGATTCATAAATTCTAAACTCAAAAGATTAAAATAAGACACATCAGGACTGAAGTGTGTTAACAGCTTGCATATGTTGCATGGAAAACAGTGGCATAGGAGAAACACAGTCATTTTCTAAAAAAGATTTCTGCATGCAAAGGGAGCCATATGTTCCTATGTAATTGTCAAGTTCATCAGCTAGTTCACACATGCATTCATAATTTATTGATACATTCTTTACATTAAACTCATGTCCAACCTTCTTTGGTTGAAGTTTGCAGAGCAACAACACCTGCCTCTTGATAATTTGATCATAAAAATATGCTTCACTCATTTCAGCTTGAACTCATGCAGCCCGTCCACTTTGCCTCAGAGGGGCCCCTGCAACTCAAAGTTACAGCTCACACTCATCACTGATAGTGAAGGGCTGGACTGAGTTCCTTGATTATTACAATCTGATACGCCTGTGCAGATGTATTAATCCCAAGAATGTGCACACACAACTGAAAGAAACGTGGCCTGGCTGCACAAACGCTCATTTCCATGCACGTTTGTGGGCTTACTCACACAAACACACATGCACATAGCAACACGTTGCATGAACACATACACACACTCACACTTCTGTACTCAAACCCTTTGCTGGAGTCTTTGGAGACATCTACACGTCTGCTTGAGCTACCCCCACATGCAGTAGGGGTTTGGGCAGCCACGTGGCACGGCGCTGCACAGCATGGTTCTTACGTAGATGAAGACAACATCCCCACCCACGCACCCTCTGACACCCATCCTCCCCACTTACGAGACGCAATGAGTGAAGGGAGCTCCATTAAAGATTCACTAACCGACTGAGGTGGTCTCCCTCAGAAGCGGAGAGGCCAGTGGTTGGAGGCGAAAACAGAAGGGAGGGGAATTCCAGAGAGGATCCCAGAGTGTCTGAAGTGTGATTCTGTATTCAGAGAGGAGATTAAGTATTCTACTGCTCAGCAGTGATCAGACTCACAGAGGCTTTCACCAAGCTTCCAACACACGCTGGATCCTGCAGATGGCATCTCACTATAGAGTGGGATGCCTGGTGGAGGGAGACAGTTGCCTGCTGCCAAACACCAGCCAATTACAAGTTCCAACCTGACTGAAAGGAAAGTTTGAAGCACAGAGGTTCAACGGAAGTCACATGGAGGGCATGTGCTTTGTTTTTTTCTGGATGATGGCAGCAGAGTGCTTTAGCCCTTTTACAACACATGATGTTACACTACTTGCTTTCAAAGCAGATAAAGTGAAATAAGACTGAGAGCCCTAACCTTGATCAAAGCTTTGAGCTAAAATCTCTGCATTTTTTTCTTTTCTGACTAAAAGCATGAAGATCGATACGAGATTTCAACCTGTCTTTTGTTTAAGCTGTTTAACTCAAGTGCATCTTTATACTTCTTATTCCTTATTCCTGTTTGTTTCCTCGGTGAAAGTTTACCACAGCAAACCAACTGATTCCATCAACCTGCCATATGAAGATACTGCTCCTGTTTGACTTTGAACAGTCGTTTAATTTGTTACATGACATATGATTTTTCAGTAATTGCTGGTATTACATTTCCCCAGGGAGACTTTCAGGCTTTTAATTGTTGAAATAATGAAATTCTCACGCCTGTGTGGACCTGCCTGGCAGTCCCAACAGGGATGTCAGCTGCTTTGCACCTCGTGCATGACAGAGTGAGCAAAAAAAAAAACTCTTGTAGAACTAAATCAATCCCTCTGTGCAGGACCCTTTCAGAGCCTGAGTGCCTGAAAGAGTCATATTGCGTCGACGGTCGGGTCTGCCAAGAAACGACACTCATCTGGCTCTGTCACCCACTTGTATTATTAGCTCTGGCTGCCTTGCAACTGCAGCTAAGTTGCACTACACACACTTTATTTTGCTGCGTTATGGAGGGTCCTGTCGTCATAAAGCGACTTGGATGTGCAGAAAACATAGGAGAATGATCCTTCACGAACGGCTGACACCACTGCGCACAGAGTGCAAGAATCTGCAGTATCTGAAGAAATCCCAAGTGGTTTAATATTTCTCATCTGGTTCTTACCGCGTTCACACAGAGTTTCCACGCGCATCCTGTTTCAAGCTGCAGTCGTTTGAGAAGCACCTGAGGAATTTAGCGGCGCGGGCCAAGGTGGGACGGTTCTGCCTCGTGAGCGCAGCGCAGCGCGGCGTGCACGCGCTCTCCAGCCTCCATATCACTGACACTGGCAATGACTTCCACGGCTGCACGAGACACGGACACGCATCACGGTACGCGCACGAGCAGCAAAGCAAAGCCAAGAACATGCACGCCGACATTACCATCAAATGACAACCGGACACGTGCTGTCATATTTAGCTGTTGTGGATCCAAAATTGAATTCCGTGCGTAAAAAGCTTTTGTCGCGCAGCAGAGCGACGTGTGAACAAGCTGCGGCTCACAGCCCGTTTGTGTTTCGCACCCTGTAGTCAGACAATTGTAAAATGAGGTTGGGAAGCATCATTTTACTCGTCGCCCTCTGCTCGTTTACCGCTTATTATATTTATGAGCCCATTCCCGAGGAGATAGAGGAGAGATGGAAACTCATGCTGACCAACTGCTTCTTCAGAAGTCTCAGCCACCTGGTAAGAATAATGAATACAAATGGATTATGGCACCACTTGGCTGGACATTAGGTCTGCATGGCTCTGACAGCCACTTCTGAAATGAATTCCTATAGTATAAAATATGTTTTAATCTACCAGCCTACTCTGGCTGTATTTATTTATTCACTTTAATACATATTTGGATAATATAAGCTTCTATTAAATACACAAATACTTACATTTTCTTGGTGTTGTCTGTTCTCAGAGTGAATATAAGGTGCCTTGTTAAATGTTTATTGTGTTTTGCTGATGTAGATATACTGTACACACTGGTTACACCAGATTATATCAGATGCTAATCCATGTGTTGTATAGTCCTGCTCACCTGTTCTAATAATAGACCCTATTAAGGAAACTGTTGATGACCGTTACAAGCCTGTGGTGCACTGAGCTCATTGTGGTGTGTTTAATTCTTTAATTGCTTACTTGGTTGTAACCTTAGTGGCATAATGAGGTTTTATTCTCATACATCTTTGTCACTGTTAAAAAGTCACATTTAATCAATTCAGTGGGTGGAAAGGTCACACAATTTGAGTTATTAGATCACAGTTATGAATGAAGAAATATTTCAGATTCTTTGGAAAATGGGACAGTGCAGGATGCTGCCTCTGAAACAATGGGGCATTGTTATTTCTTTCTGCAGGGAGAGTGCGGGTTAAGTTTGAAAGACTTTAAACCTTTGAAGAATCAATATCATTTTAGCATGAACATGTTATTATAAAGATATTCTGATATTCTATCTTTATTTATTTATTTTAACATCTAACTTATCAATGAATCAAATTTTTTACTTTAGCCATAACCAGAGGTACGCTCAGGCATGCAGGTATCCCGTCGTGGTCATGGTGCTTTAATTAGATGTTAGACTTGGAGAATGTAGACACAAATTGCAAGTGACAGATACACTGATTAGCCGCAATGTCAGTTCTTGAGGCTGATTTACTGTTGCAACATGAAAAATGAGTATGCATGAGATTAGAGCGAGTTTGACAAGAGCTATCTCCAAAAACTGTAGGTGTTATGGGGTGTTCCCGGTATGCAGTGGTCCATAGAAGGGGAATGGGGAAAGGTCATGGATGCATAAGGCTGGGAGGTGTGGTCCCATTCCACAAAAGCACAACAAAACCTTAATCCTTACTGTGATAGAAACACACACCCTGTTGCATGAGGGGCTGCATAGCCAAAAAGTCAGTCAGTGTGCCCTTTGATGACCCCCATCACCAGCAGAACACACCTCCAAAATGCATGACTGACAGTAACTGAGCCACGGCCAACTTGTTTTCTTTAACATCATGTGAATGCCTGGAGTGAGAGGCTGCAGCAGCAGGACGCACTACAGGAAAAGGAAATGCAGAGTGCAGAGGCAGCGTGATGCTCCGGTTAACGTTCTGCTTCTGCAAAACCTTGCGTGCTTGCATGTGCTGGAAAAAAACCAGGCTGATCCATGGAGGTCCCACCTGCAATTTACAGGACTTAAAGGATCCCGGTGCCTGATACCACAGGGCACCTTTAGAGGTCTTGCGGAGTCCATGACTCAACAGTTCAGAGCAGTTTTGGCAGCACCATGGAGACTTATGCAATGTTAGGCATATGGTTGTAATGCTGTGACCGAATCAGTGTATGTTCCAGTACTTTTACAATATGTTTCAGTTTTTCAGTGCAACCTGTTCTATGAGGCTCCTTCTATTTTTACTTCAGCAAATGATCGTTTTTATTCTTTTAGGCAGAGACTTGAGTAGTAGAATGCTTCAGTAGTTCTTTTTTCCTTTCACGATATGAATGCCTGATACGCCAGAGTGGATGCTGATATGTGGCCACAGCAGAAGTGCATCAGCTGATTCCCGTCATGCCAGCCACCGACTGCTTACCTCATCTGATGCACCGGGGGTGAAGCTTTTAAAGCCTCATTTATTTTATACCTCATCAAAGACTTATGACGTGGTAAGACAAATAACTCCAGGGGGCTGTTTACGTGTTACCAGACAACATTCACATGACTGTAGCCTCTCCCTCGCTCGCTCTGTGACGTGGCCACATAGTTCAGTATCTTAGGGCTTTCTGTTCAGAATATTATGAGCTTTGGACAAGGTGATCGCTCACATAGAATTAACTGGTTTACAGTAACTTTACTACACATGGTAAATTATGTGATATTCTTCTCTTTCCAGGCAGACCTCAGTGAATTGCTGGGGCTGAAGGACTACATGGGGGTAATGTACTTCATTACTCTGGCTGAAAGGGTGGTGCCCGTGTCCGACCAGCACGTCAAGGTTACAGAGGAAAATTTTGACGGAGTCGAGGTGGTGCTCTACCAGCCAAAGCAACAGGGCGGTGGTGAAGAACTCAGGAGAGCCATCATATACCTGCACGGTGGAGGATGGTGTCTTGGCAGCTCCCGTAAGTTGATGGGTTGGTCTGTTTCTCCTTCATCCTGTATAATTACGACTCTCTGCTAAATAATGCATCAAAGATGGATGAGTGGGCAATACCATATTCTTGTGATGTCTTCATCGCAAAGTAATCACACTTTGACTCGGAGAAAGTATTTACAGTTTGATTGATGTTAGAAATTACTTTACAGGCGCCTGATGACAGCTGTGGTGACAGCTACATAAATAATGAACAAACTGTCAAATGCGAAACGCTTTCTCAGGTTTTCCGGAGGAAATAACGCGCCGTCTGCTGGAGCAGTGGGCGACCTCAGAGGGTGTTTACCCCTGCCTGTCCAAAACCTAAAGACATGGCATGCAGTTTGACACATGGCATGCTGCTCTTGCAATCTGTTGACTGGCTGCAGCTATTACAGTAACATGGCTCTTGCCAAGATGTGCCCCTAGACATGTTAATCTGCAGTGTTAGCTTCATGGAAAGTGATGGATGTCAGTTTCTGTGGATGTCTGAGGTGCTTTGGAATCTCTGTTCTGATCTGTCTGTCTTCTCTGTCTATGCAGGAATGAGTCCATACGATCTCCTGGCCAGAGAATTAGTCACTGAGCTTGATGCAGTTGTTCTTTCTGTGGAGTAAGTATTATTCTATTGTCAGCTATATGCAGATGATATAGTGCAAAACTGCTTGGTAAATAACACTGCAGCTGCAACAATTGCCCCCTGCAACAATCTCCAATTATAATGACACTGACAGAGCACATACCTCTGACAAGGCCCAACAGTCCGATGCAAATTCACTCGATCTTGATTCTTATTGGGATCTTCATTAGATTGCACACACTCATAAATATCAATATGTTTTTTTTCCATGCAGATCCATGAATAATTCTCTGAGAAATATGCTATATTCTAATTTGTCACACCACAGTTTGATAGTGAATCAAAACAATTGTACTCTTCTCATAACATTACCGATCTCTAGCTCTGCTCCATTGCTGCATTGTATAGCTGTGTGCAATGCTTTTTGCTTTGTGGTTGGCATTTGCTCTCGCTATCGACCATAAAGTTGTTACCATCCACACAGGCAGCTGAACCTCGTAGATTTAGCTGCAGTTGTACCTGCGAGTGGCATGAATGAAGCTCTCTCCTGCGATAATTTTCTTTACTGTCTTCAGAGTCATTTCATTTGTGTAACTGATGAATACAAATTTCCCTTTGCACTTTTTCTCACACATATTTTTGCTTTGTCATATTAGCCTGTCCTCCTTCATTAGCCACAGAATAGATGGAATCGAGCATGCAGTAGAAACAGGTTTTCATTGTTACACTCACTGTTGGTCTTTGACACATCCGCTTCTAACTCTCTCTGCACTGTAACTTTATCCGGCCGATACTCCCTCTGTCCCCTCATTCACCACTCATGGTTTTATCAGTCAACAAATGAGGTGACTCAGTCATTAAGTCACACTTTATTTTGCATATGTGTGTGACTATTTGACAGTGCAAGTCGGAGTGGATCAGTATATGTGTATGCGCTGTGTGAGCACATTTCCTTATCTGCCTCCATCCGAATTCCTGTGTGCAATTTGTTAAAGGTTCAATGGGTAATTCCAGCACTTCAGTCTCAGGGTCAGCCATGTGTAACATTTTAGCTCATAGACGGAAACATCTACAGAGATGACACCAGCAGGCCACGGATAGTAAAACTTTTAAATATAATAATAAACAATGGTTGTGCGCATACTTCGGTGAAGGGCCAATAGTCGGTGTGCGTGTGTGGTGGACAATGAATCTGCACAATGAGTTCTTATGTTAACCCTCTAGGATGTGTGACATCATCATTTTCAAACAGGTCTGTCGATTGAAAAAAAGCACAGTCATAGTACACACACAAACACACACACACAAATACACAAAAACAAAGATACACACACAAACTTATAAAAGCCCAGAAAGTTTCTTAAATTTAATCATTGCACAAAATTGCACAGACTTACATATCAATCCTCTAAGTATGTGTGCCTTTTTCCAGGATGTATTCCCTGGGGAATCAGTGGACATTTTATAAAACACAAACTTAAAAGGTTCAGTGTGCAAGATTTAGGTGGCAAAAATGTTATATAAAATAATCCTAGAGATGATTTCACAAGTGTGCCTCATCTAAATTGTACAATTGTTGTTTTATTTACCCTAGAATGGGCATTTTATTTTAAATACTTTATATTTACATTGAAAGTGGGTCCTCTCTATTGAGACCGTCATGTTTTTTACAGTAGCCCAGATTGGACAAACTAAACCTTTTGCGTTTCTATGGCAACTGAGGCTTCCACAGGTTCTCTTTCATGTTTGGAAGGAGAGGGTGAAGTAAGGGCTATTCAGCTGCAACATGACACTTCACCACTAGATGTCATTAAATTCTACACACTGAACCTTTAAAATAGAGTGATAAAAATAAAAAATCCTGGATCTCCCCCCTCATCCTGATATGCAAACAAATTAAATGAATTTTTCCTTTACCTACACCGCATCCTTCCACCAAGTTCGGTCATCTTGCTTGAAACGCAAACAAACAAATGGAGAGAAGGGAAAGCATATCCTCCTTGGTGGAGTTATAAATAGTAACTTGTATAAATAAGTGAAATCTAGTTAATTTGTGTTAGCTGTCACTTTCTTGCATGTTTCTTAAGTATAAGCCTTTACAGAAACAGTGTGATCTTATATTTTACTGCCTGTTTTTCACATTCTGCTTCTCCCAAACATGATCAAATTAAATGAGACAACAGAGTACGGTGTTCTGGTGCTTCTGTTTCAAACCAATTTAAGTCTTATAAGTTAAAAAAAAAACTCTGTGACTCTGTTACGTCATCTCTTGCCGTGATCAACATGTTTATTTTTTCGGACTCAAACAGTTTTCTGTCTCGTCCTGTCCTCTCATTTATTTATGTTCCAGTTTTAATCCTGCACCTTTCTATTTTTAAAGGTACCGCCTCGCCCCTGCTCACCACTTCCCCGTACCGTATGAGGACGTGTACCGTGTGGTCAAACACTTCCTCCAGAAGGGGGTGCTGGCCCAGTACTCTGTGGACCCAGGACGCATAGCTGTGTCTGGGGATAGTGCTGGAGGGAACCTGGCAGCTGCCGTCTCTCAACAGGTTCTGAATCTATTTTTTTTCTTTCTAGTGTCGGCTCTGTTCGTCTAGTGCACATGGAAACAAACATCTCTGTATGATGAGATGACATGAGACAAGATTAATAACCCGGTTTACGGAAAATATTACTGAACCACTAGAACATGTGTTAAGTAGTGCATCTGAGATAGCAAACATTGATCTACTCTGACATGTATGACTATGCGATGGATCTCAGCTATGTTCATTAGGAGCAAATCTCTCAAATCCATGGTAGTAGTCGAAGGAGAAAGAACTTGTTGGAGCTGACCAGCAGTCAGTGTCAACAAGTGTCAAATCCACAGTATACACACCCTCACAAGAATGTAGGTTATTCACTGATTCTATCGCACAATTAAAGGTCAGAAGAGAAAGAACAACCCACCACATTTTCAGCAGTGCCACAGGCAACAGGTAGCTGAGGAGATGAAGTGAGGTTGGAGACAGTGAGCTGTAGCATAGCAGGAAGTTCAACTCTCTGAAGATAATCTCTTTGGAATTGAATCTTCTAATAGTGATTTAAGTTGTGGGTGCATTTCCTGATGCTACATGTGGACTTCAGCACAGCTTTACAAAGTCTTCCGAACAGACCAAACTATGTTTTATTTTGTGCAAGAACAAAGACCATTAAAGGTCCAGTGTGTAAGATTTAGGTGAAAGGGATCTATTGGCAGAAATGTATTTTAAAATAATCCTGGTGATGGTTTCACTGGTGTGTTTCATCTAAATTGTTTGAATTGTTTTCTTTACCCTAGAATTAGCCCTTTATATTCAAATACTTTATATTTACATCAGGAGCAGGCCCTCTCTACAGAGGCAGCCATGTTTTTTACAGTAGTCCAAACTGGACAAACAACTGAGGCTTCCACAGGTTTTCTTTCATGTTTAGAAGGGGAGGGTGAGGTGAGGGGATTCAGCTGCTACATAAAACTTCACAATTAGATGTCACTGAATTCTACACACTGAACCTTTAAGGTTGAGTTGAAAACGCTACATCACAATGATTTTGCATCCATATGTACACACTGAGCCATGCAGCATCGTGTGATTCAGCATTAGGAGAACTGGCACTACACAGAGAGCAATCCCCCGACATTCCCAGTTCTTCCTCTTAGCAACTGTGATGTCGGCCTTAAGAGCCAGGAACAGCTTTACAGGACTCTGCACGACTTTTCTCCTCATGCCCATGTATGATCATGATGTTGGCCCTGCACCAAGAGCCCATGCTTGCCAAGTCATGGTGAAGATGAAGTCCTTTTTTTACTGCACCACCGCAAATATGGAGATAAATCACAGGAATCCATGATGGCCCATCAGATTACCAACAGGGAAAAAAACCCTAGTTCCAAGGAAATAGGGTTTACCAGAAATAAAAGAGTCCTGTGACACATTCTCAGGAAAGGCTTCTATCAGCAAGAGCAGCCTTTACTCAGAATACACTTTCATGTTCCCAGAAGAAGGAAGTATACATTTTTTGAGGACTGCGTTTGAGCTGAAGATACTCCTGTTTTCATTAAGTTGAGTGCATTCCTCCGCTAAGGCCCAATAGTCCTCTTATTTATATTTAAATTCACTAGATCCGGATTTTTATTCTGAGCTGCATTAAATTGCACAAATTCATAAATATTAGTCCCCTTCATATGCCAGATTTTTTTCAAGATCCTTATATTATTTTCTCAGGAATCAAAATAATGTTGAAAAACGCCCCCCCTCGCAATCTTAAAGAAAGTGAAGAAACATTCTTGGATCAGCTGTTGGTGGACAATGTCACTACTGTACTGATCCTTTTAGCTTACTGCATCCATGTGAAAAGCCTGTTCTAGGCTGTTTGTCCTCACACAGACAGTTGCTGTACATCATTGTAATTCCTGGCAGCTCAGTGGAGACAAAGACAAATGAAGAATACTTGGAAGTATTCCTGTAAACAACCATGACTGGCACATTTGATCACATGCTGGTTCACTTAATCATGAGCTTATATATAATTTGATGGATAAATAGTCTGTTTCCCTTTTATTTGAACACAAATCGACTCTCTCCATCTCTCTCCACAGTTACTAAAAGAGCCTGGAGAGCAGATTCAGTTGAAGGCCCAGGCGCTCATCTACCCGGTGCTCCAGGCGCTGGACCTCAACACTCCTTCATATCAGCAGAACCAGGACATGCCCATTCTACCCCGGACCCTCATGGTGCGGTTCTGGAGCGAGTACTTCACCAGCGACAAAGCTCTTTTCAGAGCCATGATGGCGAACACCCACAACAACCACGAGTCTTCCAGTCTGCTGAAGTTTGTCAACTGGAGCGCCTTCCTTCCAGAAACGTACCACAGAGAATACAACTACAGTGCGCCCGCTGTGGTGCAGGGAGTCGGGGGGGAGGCAACGGGGATGGACGGACCGTCTCGATCTTTGGCTGACCCGAGGGCGTCGCCTCTGCTGGTTCCAGACACGGCCTTACACTCTCTGCCCAAGGCCTACATTATGACATGTGAGTATGACGTTCTCCGAGATGATGGCATCATGTATGTCACACGGCTCCGGGCTGCTGGTGTCGAGGTGTCACACGAACACTATGACACAGGATTTCACGGAGCGCTGATGTTCACTGTGTGGCCCACTGACTTCCTGATTGCACGCCGCATGACAGACAACTATATCAAATGGCTCAAGGAAAACTTGTAAAAACTCCTGACTTATTATAATCATTCCAGCTTGGGTTTTGTTTCGCCACAATGCACCAAAGTTTGTTTAGGTGCCATTTGTTTTCCAATCTGTGTTTAACTTTTGTGTTGTTTAGTTCTTGTTTGTCGGTCAGGCTATCTTTCTGTAAATATATTTAGAAATATATTAACATCTTTTATTTTCCCACTCATGTGTTAGATAGCAGGTCAGGAAATGAGAATTTGAAATAAGATTTAAAAGTATTTTACATATAGTAGTAAAACACAATGCATATGAAACTAAAATGGCACTATAGAGAGCAAACCTCAGCCAATGCCCAGTAGTCCCCTTATCAAACCCCATTTAAATTCACTAAATCAAGATTTTTGTGAAAATTTATTGGGTTCTTATCTGACCTACTAAATCTTTCCGCTAAGTTTCATGCTAATCAGTCTTTTGTGTAATCTTCAAAAACAAATCCATTCTCTTTAGCAGAAGTAATCAACACTTGCACATAAAAGTAGTAATGAGTTTATTGTCCAACAACCATAAAGCTACCTAAAAAAGTAAAACCCTGCAACATCACTAAGGTTGCTGTATTGTGGATTGTCATTACTTTATTTTTGCTGACTAACTGGCCCTGGCTCATTCTTGTTTCCCCCTGAAGGACCCACTACCTGTTCACTGCATCAACGTCATACTAGTCATGCGTATCACTCATTACAAAAAATATTTTCCCTTTAGAGGTTTTCAGAATCCAGGATAAAACTTCTCAAAGCAGAACAGGATTTTCACAACAGCAAAAAATATAGTCACCTTGGCCAAAGTTAACATTCATCACTGAGCACAAGCTGACTCTGAAACCTGAGAATGTTTAAATGTCTTTGCAATATAACGTCTCATGTGTAAAGGTCACTGATGCTTTAGAAATAGAGCAAAACAAGGACAGAACTAAACCTGAGTAACAACTAAGCAAACGTTACACACAGCTCACATATGCTGATACAGTAACTATGGTATCTTCAATGGTATAATTCAATGGTATCTTTATTAGCAAAACATGCAGAAGTACAACAAAAAAAATTTTTTTGCTTGTTTGCTTCGTAACATGTGGGCTACACCCAAATTAATTTGATCAGCCACATTCCACACAGCATTGCTATTTATATTAGCTTTATCAGAGTATTGCTATCTATATTAGTTAGATACAAGTAGAGGCGATGCTGTAGCAGCCTCAAAACAGTCCTCACACCATGCAGACATGTAAAAAATGAAGAAGAGACAGATTATGTCCTGCAGGAAATTGAGCAACATTTTAAGTGTAGCCTTGATCTTTACAGTACGTCACATGTCTCTTAACCAGGTGAATATTAAAAACTAGAATGGCCTCCAGCAGACAGTCCCCTCAGGAAACCACATTTAGATTCACTCAATCTGGATTTTTATTTGGATCTGCACCAAATTCAGTCTCCTAAACATTTTTTTTTCCAATTAATAACCATGAATTCATCTCACACTATTTAAGAGAGGAAGAGAGCATCCTTCACTGGTATTTCTTGTGTTATATCTAAGTAACAGGCAAAAAAAAAACTAGAATAGAGTGCAAGCCTCAATACGGTCAAGATCCATGAATCATTCTGAGAAATTAACAAATATGAAATTGAAACATGCCCTTCCATTTTGGAGTGGATCTGCCCCCTGATCCAGATCCACGGCCATGCCCCCCATCAAAATTTTAGCGAAATTGTTTGAGTTAGAAATAATTTTGCTTTGGTTCCTGTAAGAGGAAGTTTTAAGACCAAGTTCTGGCTTCATGATGAAATTGTGATGTGAAAATGTGTGTAGAACGAAAATTAAATAAATGTCTTGCACAAACACTACATGCATGTCACTGATCTCACTGCAATTTGTTGTCACCAGTCAACCTTTAGCTCCGGATGTACAAGAATCATGACACAAAACTAGACTCTCCCTTTTTATCTTTATGTCTGTGGGGGAAATCCCCTTGTGACTTCTCTGCACATGGGATGACTATCTGTAAGATAACAGGGAGGTTTAAAGTTCTAGTTCTAGTTAATGTGAAACAGATATGATCTTCTTGACTCAGCTTTCAGGCTTGTCTTTTGTTTGATGGTTTCTTTCTTTCTTTCATTTTTTTCCCCCAGTTACTCATTCAAAATAAACAACCACTTAAAGTATGTAACTTTTGAAACAAGTCAGTGCACTGCAGAGAAACATGGCTCTCTTGCTTAAGCACTGCTTTGTTTTCAGTTGTAAATATGACGCTATTTCTGTGTTGGATTCCCTCTTGGAGAGTGTTTTTGATTTGCTTTTTTAATGTCATCTGACAATAAATTGACTTGACCATTCCCCACTAATGAATTGTCCTTTGTGCGTGATCACCCACGATCAAATTTGTTGTACTCCTTATCATATTTCATTATTTACTTCAAGTTTAAAGACAGATTTTTGTTTTATAACTGGACCCAAATGCAGACATATGCAAAAAACTGAAAAACCTATTTAATCAACCAAAATTTACTGGCTTACAATCAGAAGGCTACACAGATATCTGGCAGCAGAAACAGAAACTAAAAACAGAACAGTAGACACAAGAGCTGGGTTGAACAGAACCAAACCAAACGGACAAAGACAAATGGAAACACTAAATACACAAAGGAGGCAGGAAAGACAGATATGTGAGGGTTCATATAGCTTAAGCAGAGAGAACAACTGATCTGCAAACATACTGCAAATATGTCCACAAATCCACCACCTACACACATTCTACCCAAGAGCTCAGCAAGGTAGAGAGGACGAACACCGAGTGTGAACAATCCATTCACACAAGAGCATTATTCAGAAAGGTCAGCCTCGTTCGCAGGAGGCATTAAACAAACCACAGCTCCCAGGTGTAGCATGGACTATTCATGTGGTACACTGTACACTGGCCTTGTGTGCAGGTGAGCATGCAGCCTGTTGCCTTATTCCTTCAACACCAAAGAGGGATAAAAACTGTTACGTGAAATGGATTATGGCAGATGATTCCTCTAACCTGCTAATAATGTATAGCTGTTTACTACATAAGTACAGTGAAGAATGTGAGTAAGAAAACACACATCTTATAAACAGTCACCTTACAAAGAAAAGCTGTACAAAGAGCATGTGCCCTGTAATGCAATTTTTCCCAGCCTGACTTTGATACTGAATCATCTTTCAAAAGTGTTATTACATTAGGGTATCACATTATATTTAATATAGAGCTTCAGGTTGTGTGTTTGTATTCACGTGTACTTTCCTGCTGCTTTATCTCATTGGCTCCCTCTCACTTCCACTCCCTGGCTTTCTTTATGAAACTCAAAACCTACACAGCTTATATTTCATTCTTGCTTTTTTTCCCCTACTTTGTTCATCCCAGGAGAGACGCCAACGTAAATGAAATGATGACTCAAGCATGGTGTGATCATGGTTAAGACTAAGGCGCCTGATCCTGGCTGATGTCTTAAAGCCACATGAAGTTAAATGCATTTAATGAGGATTCAGGGTTTCTGTTTAACTTCGGAGGTCACCGACAGTCCAGTATGAAGAGAACTAGGACCTAGAGATTATTCCACTTTAGGACATATACAGTATATTAGAGTGTTATTAGAAAATATCTCTGGGTTTCCAACAAAAAATACTATATAATAAAAACAATAATGTCTTACAGAAATCAAAACAAAGTTACACAGTGATTTACAGATAAGAATGTAAAAACATGCAAAAAATAACATGAAAAGAAGTAAAAGGAGAATTGAAAGTAGGATTTGAAGGAAATTATAATAAAAAATGTGTGGAAAAAATAACATACAATACATTTATATAGATCTCAAAACGTTTTCATAAATGAGAAAAATATTAAACAAAATCAAAATAATAAAATAGTAAAAACACTTAAAATGTGACAGAAATTTTAGTATATTTACACATAGAAAGATAAAAAAAATAGAATTAGGGGGAATCAGGGAATGTGGAATGATTAGAGCACAAGCTTTGATTCAAAAGAAACTACTGATTCGTTGAAACAAAAAATATTTTTATGTGAATGCAGAAAATGATTTGGCATCTTACACTTGTCATCGTCCCTCCCTTAGTAAAATGAAAAACAGCCATGACGTTAACACAGTATCCAGTTACAAACATAAGTCATAAAGTCTTTTTAAACAAAAACAGATACAGATAAAAGCTCAAATGTGATTTAAAAAAACAGTAACAGGGACTGACCTTTAAATGCATTAAGATGATTTACCAGTTAATTTATTTTATCAACATGAAAAAATACATAATTAATAGACACTAAAAATTGTATTCAATATCAATCATACCAGACAGTTTGACAATATTTTAATTGATGTAAATTTGCACAATTATATAAAATGAAAAAAAGGAAAGCATATCTGCAACATTTTAACGAAATGTAATATTTATAGACATAGCCGTTTCACATGTGTGGACCTGTGATATCATGCCATGCAGGGATCTTGTCAGGCTGGTTGTCTTTGCTGCTCTGTCTTTCTGAACAGTTTCCTGAGCTTAGCAAACAGAAGCTGACTAAACTTGTCACCCATGAGAAAGTAGAAAACAGGGTTGATGACGCTGTGCATGAAGGCCAGTGGTCGGGTCACGATGTACAGGCCTCGCACGTACATCCTCGTGCAGAGGTTCATTCCTGCCCAGAGCTGCCCAGACGCCATCGTAATATTTCTCAGCACGTGGTACGGAGTGTAGAGAACCAGAAACATGGCTGCAGCTGAGGCAACAACCCTGAGTGTACGCTTGTACGGTTTGGCCCTGTGCTGCAGAGCCCTTTCCTGGACATGCAGCAGGTGTGCGATCTGGTAGGAGAAACTGCACAGTGCAAGCATGGGAATAATGTAACCAGTCAAGGTGAGCCCCAGGCTGTATCCAAACGAGTTAATGTTTCCTTTCAGGCTGGCAAAATCCATGCAGCGACTCCAGTTTCCACTCTGCAGGTCCTGAACCATCAGTGCTATCATTGGAGCCACCTCCACATTGACGGCCAGCCAGCTCAGCCCTGTCACAAGCAGGGCGGTCTGAGGCTGCAGCAGGTAGTGGTTCCTCATTGGATACTTTATGAGCAAGAAGCGGTCCATGCAAAGCCAAACCATGAAGAGGATGGAAGAGTAGAGATTGACATGCAGGACGTAGCGGTTTATAACGCAACTGTACGGACTGGTTTCCGCTTGGTGATTTGCATAGAGGTAAGAGAGGCGTGGCAGCGTGCAGAGGAAAATAAGGTCGGATACTGCCAGGCTGAAGAGGTAAATGTTGCAGCTCTGCCAGACTGGCAGGCAAAATATATAGCCGAGCACGACCAAGAGGTTGCCAGGGAAACCGATGCAGAACTCAATAGCATAAAATGGTGACAAATAATACCTCTCCAACACGTCATCTATCTGAGTACAATTCAGCACCTGGAAAAAAGAACGAAAAGGAGAAAAGAAAAGAAGGTGAAAGACTTTAAGGATAATTTTCAAAAAACAGATTCAGCAAATACTTTCTTTAAGTTTACTTAACAGCTATCAACATTTCTATTGGATATTTTAGAATAAGACTTACCATGGTGTGGTTGCTCTTGTTGCAGATTGTGAATACAGAGTGAGACCATGAACAGGTGCAGCAACTATCCGTCACTGGAAACAGTAAACACTACGTGCTGGTACCTCAACACGACAATGGAAAAGTCAGCCACAGTTACTTATGGCTGACGCATTCATGCATAATTTCTGTCATTTGCATTTATGGTTCATTTGCAATATGTACCTGCACTGGCCTTTCAACACCCTCTTGACTATTGTTGCAGGTAAAATAAGGTTGGCTGTTGAGTTTTATTTTACCGTGAGTTAAATGTTGCTTTTTCTAGACTTGAAATGTCATCTTCACCTTCTTAACAACATTATCTTCTGTTTAAAATGACTTAAAAGAATAGTAACAGACTCAGGCAACACTAACAACCGTTTACAGTTTTTTGTTTTATGTGCAAATATAAAAGCAGTTAAAATGTCCGATTTGTGATCAATCAGAGAATTGTCTGTCCCTTTTCCAAATGTATTCTAAAGTTATACTTACAATCTCCAACAAGTCGAGCCAAAGAAAATTGTTAACCTCAGGCAAAAATAACCAAATTCAATATTTTCTTCCAATAACCTTTCTCTGTCCTGAGACTAATGCAGTCCCCACCTACTTGACTGACTGCTTATCTAAATGTGTGCTTATGTCTCTACATCTAGGTAGTTTTATCACTGCTACTATCATCCAAACTTCCTGTCTTTTCTTTATAGTCAACCTATTAATATCCTGTGTTGGTTTCACTTGTAATATCACAAATTGCTTTTTTGTTTGAATATTCTTCATTGACATTTACTTATTTAAACAAGATCTTATCTTATTTCCTCTTCTATGGGTTTCTCTGTAATAAAACGTGGAATATAAATGATGTACTTTTACTGCATGTATTTAGCATTTATAAAACTTCATCTCTGAGTAGGAGTCACAGAAATCATTGTAGTTCATCATGTCTGAAACTTTGTACTCTTTGCCACACGTCATTTAATTGACAGTTGTTGTTACATGTTTTGTCTGTGTGTTAGTTTTGGCTTGATTTAATCGTTTTACATGCAAAATATACAATGAGAATAAAATTCATTGATAAAGATTATATTTAACGGATCCTGTTATTTAAGTATTTTTCATTAACTTAGTACAAATGACAGAAAAAGTACTAAAAACCTTCTGAGGCACTTTAATCACTTGTAGTGAGTTAATACAAAAAAAGATATTTAATTGAATGCATTACAGCCAGGGCCGGGTCTAGGTAGGGGCAAGAGGGGGCCTGGCCCCCTCAAATAAATGTTGTGCCCCCTCAAACTAAATCCCCCAAAATATATTAAATTTCATATATTTTTTATTATCTCATGCTTCTCTCCTCCGCTCCACTTCTTAATGTATTAATGTCTTGCTTGCCCCCTCAAATATAAAATATATCAAGTTGTTTCTCATGTCATGTTTCGCA